ATTACTCAACCTCTTACCCTCCGCATCGGTAACCATCTAGACAGGGCTATCACCTGTGAGGTTGGCTCGTTTGCAGGAGAGGACCTCGTCATACCACATCGATGGCTCAAAGAGCATCAACCAACCATCCATTGGGGACGCAACAGTGTCAGCTTCCATAGCAACAACTGTATAGTCAATGGATGCTTCGTATCAGTCGAAGACATATACGATCAAGACCCAGAAGAGCTGGTCATCAGGCTGTTGAGGGCGTCACCCAAGAAGCAGACGACGATCGAGCAACACCCCTTTTGGGCAAGAGCATCGGTAAACGAGGCTCTCGTTAGTGCTATACCGGTGGAGTTTCAGGAATACGCCGATGTGTTCTCCAAGGAAGGAGCCGCTCGACTACCTGACCACTCTGAATGGGATCATACCATTCCTCTTATGGAAGGAAAGCAGCCGCCGTGGGGACCGATCTATTCGCTCTCTCCACCTGAAGATAAGGCACTCCGGGAGTATTTGGACGAGAACTTGCCCTCCGGCAAAGTCGTCCCCTCCACTAGCCCAGCAGCGGCACCCGTCCTGTTCGTTCCGAAAGCTAATGGTAAGCTTCGGTTATGTGTCGACTTTCGTGGTTTGAATGGAATCACAATTAAGAACCGTTATCCACTGCCGCTCATGAACGAGCTGGCCGACGCAACGAAAGGAGCACTCTACTTCACGAAGATAGACCTGAAAAATGGCTATAATCTGATTAGGATTGCTAAGGGCGAAGAATGGAAAACCGCTTTCCGAACGAAATACGGCCTTTTCGAATATAGGGTAATGCCTTTCGGCTTGACCAATGCTCCTGCGTCGTTTCAGGTCATGGTCAATACCATATTCAAGGATCTTCTAGATCAAGGCGTAGTAGTCTACCTGGATGACATCTTAATGTATTCAAAGACTAGAGAAGAGCATACGACTCTTGTACGAGAAGTTTTGGAGCGACTGCGACGACACCACCTATACGGAAACCTCGAGAAAACGGAATGGTATCAACAGGAGGTAGAATTCCTGGGATTCATACTATCAGGAAAAGGGAACCGAGTATCACCAAAGAAAGTCCAGGCGATCGAAGGCTGGTTAGCCCCAACCAAGGTCAAGGAACTCCAATGCTTCCTCGGGTTCGCCAATTTCCTAAGACGGTTCATCCACCGATACTCTGAGGTTTGCAGACCCATGACCGATCTCCTGAAGAAAGGTTCCGTATGGAAATGAGGCAGGGAACAGCTGGACGCGTTCGACGAGCTCAAGAGGAGATTTACGTCTGCTCCAATACTCCGACACTATGACGAACACCGCGAGGCAATCGTGGAGACTGATGCGAGTGACTGGGCCGAGGCCGCAGTACTCTCCCAGGTGTTCGAGGACGGTATCCTACATCCGGTAGCTTACCACTCTCGCAAGTTCAACGAGGCAGAGGTCAACTATGAGATCTACGACAAGGAGATGCTCGCAATAGTTTCTGCCCTCTTAACTTGGAGACATTGGCTGGAAGGGACGGACATCCCTATCCAGATACATTCGGATCACCAAAACCTGCAGTATTTCACAACGACCAAGAAGTTGTCGAGAAGACAAGCCAGATGGGCCGAGAAGATAGCACCTTTTCGCTTCAAGATCCATTACCGACCAGGCGAAAAGAACGGCAAGCCAGATGCACTCACAAGGCGTCCGGAGTTCGCAATGGAAGGGGGAGTAATTCGTGAGCAGCCCGTAAAACAGCTACTCAGCGCAGAACAATTTGTCAGAAAATCACGGACCAGCATAGAAACTGGGTCTGAGGTGATTGGCAACCCCGAAGAGGAATGGAATCAGTTGGATCAGTGGTACGACATACCAAGCGTAGGGCTGCCTCAGCCACTACAGGGTTGGTATGAACAGGAAAGACGATGGGTTCGGAGGATGGTTCCGGATGAACACCTCCCTGACTCAAACCTTGAGATCTTCGGACCACCGGAGGCTGCTATCGTAAAGGTAGAGCCTGCCGCTGAATGGAGTCCCGATTCGAATGACCCCACCCACGATGGTCGGTGGGTAGTATCGGGCTACGCGGTCAAGCAGGTCATCGAGGAACATCATGATCGACCCGTAGCGGGGCATCTAGGAAGGGATAAAACCCTTGAGTTGATCGATAGGAACTACTGGTGGCCAGGAATGTCCACGGATGTAGCCAACTTCGTCAAGACTTGCGATGTATGCCAGAGAGCCAAGCAATGTCGGAGACACTTGTCACTCCCTCAACCCCTAGAGTTAGCCACCACACCTTGGACTGATATCTCGATGGATTTCGTAGTAGAAATGCCTAAGGAGAAATCAGGATTCCGCAACGTATTGGTAGTCGTGGACCGTTTTACGAAGATGGCTCACTTCATTCCAATGACGGGAATCAACGCGGAACAAACCGCCAACGCATTCGTCAAAGACATCTGGCATTTCCACGGACTTCCTAGGAGCATCGTCTCAGACAGAGGAACGCAGTTCGTGTCAGCCTTCTGGGCGGCAATTACGGACAGACTGGGGATTCGTAGAAGACTCTCCACCTCATTCCACCCCCAAACCGACGGCCAAACAGAGCGGACCAACCAACACATGGAAGGTTATATTCGGGCATATACGGCAGGAACAGGCAAGAAATGGAAGGACCTGTTACCTATCTGTGAATACGCCTACAACAATGCGAAGCATACGTCGACGGGCCAATCGCCGTTCTACTGCAATTATGGCTTCCACCCTCGAACGGATTGGCCTACGGATGCAGAGATCGAACGATTAGACGCCAACGGGAACAACTACTTGGATGAGATCATCACGGCTCATGAGTTAGCGAGAGACACGCTACAGAAGACCTTCGACAGGATGGCGTCAAAGCCAGGACCGGCAGTACAGCGGTTCACTATCGATCAGAAAGTCTTGCTGGACACTCGGAACCTAGGAGGATACTCCAAGTGGTCGGACAAGTTCACAGGGCCATTTACAGTTTCAGCAGTGGTAGGCAATCGGGCTTACCGTCTCGAACTTCCGGTAGAATGGAAGGTTCACGACGTCTTTCACGAGATGCTGCTGCGACCCTATCGTGAGGACCCGGATCCCACCAGAAAACAAAATACACGAAAGCGACTGGCAACACCCGAGCCACAGGAGGCATTGGCAGATGAGAATTTCCAGCCAACCTCGAACATACGACCCCATACGCGAAGTCGAGGCCCAGCGATCGATAATGACCGGGCCCATAAACGACAACGGAACAGGCGAGACTAAGCTCGATACCTTTCCCTACTCTATGACTTTTCCCACAGGGTTTTTATCATAGAAGGGTTTTAACGGTCGAGGGCGACGTCTAGGAAGGGGGAGTAGTGTTACGGGAACTACGGAGCACTGTTCTAAGAGGCTTAGGACAATGAGGAATACGAGTGACGGGTTGTGATGCAAGGACGGTCGGGTAACGAAAGGACAAGCATAGAAAGGTATCGGGTAGTGTGGGAGCACGCGGTGTTACCACACTAGTGTTATACTATTATGACGGCACGCTTACTATTGGGTGCCTCACCCGGAATAGAATAGGAAGCGGGGCTTACGGCTGTAGGCTGTTCTACTTAGGGAAGTAGGTCTAGGATAATAGTATGGTACAGCCCGATGACTGGCAATTGCAAGGTTCATGGTTACGTGTCGGAATTAGAATGGAGGACGGAACTATGCGGGGGCGCTTTTCTATCTGGGTTATCCTCGGGAGCATTATCTTATTCTATTATCGTTGTGTCAGTTAGTATTAGAAAGCGGGCCTTGGCATAGGTTCCAACATGTATAAATAGGGCTTGATTCTCCGAAGACTTGAGGGTATCATCAACCATCAAGTCAAGGGAATCCGGTTTACAATATCATCAGTTTAAACGCTACAGAATTATCGCTTAGCACTGGCTATTTCCCCAAACACATGGGTGAGTCATACGCCGATGACAACTACAATAATGAAATGATGAGAATCCTCCAATACTATGAAATGTGCCGAGCGCCCTATTTCAAGAATTCGTTCCATGCATTTTCCATATTTCTCTTCCAGCGGTCTCTTGCCATGGATGGTTGCCGGTGACCTGTTTGAGCCTACGGACTAAACCTGGCGACACATCAAATTTATATCTTGGCCTATGTTTACCTCTACTTTGTTCTGTTTACCTCTCGGTATTTTTTCTTCATCCCTGACTGCTGAACTTGGGTAGTAGGGGTTTATCGCATCCCTACACTTTGATCATTCACTTTACGACTTTCCCATTTTCATCCATATTACTGTGGTAATGGTATTTTTTCTGGGCGTGCCAGAACCGTTTACTACAGACTTTATTGCAAAACCTCTTTAATGCAGACTTAATTCTGCATCGAATTTGTTAGTTCTCTCAAAGAAGTTTGGAGGAATATGTATGAACAGGGGTTGTGAACGGGCGCCCCAGTTGTTACTGTGGAAATGACCCACTTAGATAATGCAGAATTTCTTGCAAACCCCCCTATTCATAAAGGTTGAGGTGCGATCGTAATGGAGATATTGAAACTCTCTCTAACTATGATCTGGAATATAGGAGAAGTGGAAAGCAGAACATACTCCCTCGTGGTTTGGCTCGGGGGTGCCAAGACTTTTCGAATGCGGCGTGGTTGAACAACTGCTAGCTAGTGTTAATGCGATATCATATTATGTTCATACCGCCCCGCCTCAGCCCCTCTACAATACGCTACGTGGCCAACCCACCCACTCCGTTGGGCAGGGACTTTTTGACGCCTTGCGGATGCGTGGGTGAGGTTCCATGAACCATTCCGTCCACATTTGTCTGGACCCCGCCTATACTACTCCGCTTGCTCTGAACATCTTGTAAATCTCAGCCTACTACTTCAAGTAATCCGCCTACCTCGATCTTCAATACTCTCCCAGCATCGCAAACTACCAACTGGTGCCTACACGAAGACCCCATACATCGAAATACTTGAAGATGCGCTCATATCGCATATCCAATATACCAAAGCAGTTGGAAGAAGACGATCTCAAAGGTCTTCTTGGTGAATCCGCATCCATCGATGTATTTGCGCCCGCCGCCAACACAACTGATTCGGAAACGAAAAAGGTGGCATTGATCAGCTTCGAGCAGGAACCTGACCCCCTTTCGAAGAAAACCTCCGTGCGGCTTCCAAAGGCGCTCTTGGACAAGGCTGGACTAAAAAGGTGTGACCTTGTGATTGATACCGACTTCTTAGGGCTTACCCCACTCAACGCACTCGACGAAACCGTATTAATAGAGTATGTCCCCCTAGGCATGATTAGGTAGCGCTTTGGATGAATCATGTCTAATCTAATTCAACTCTTGCAGTGTCATCGCGGTTACCGGGCTCGGGGGACACGCCTTTGGGTCGTGGAAGGCAAAGAATGGAGATTTCATGTGGCTGCGCGATGCCCTACCAACGGACATTAGTGGTCTTAGAATTCTAACATACGGATATGAATCTAGTCTGATTGGAAGCACATCTTTTGCTAGCATACCAACCTACGCAACGGAACTTCTTCACAGCTTAATGGGTGCTCGGTGCCATGATGATGTGTGTATAGCAACACTCCCACCCCCGTAAGTGAGGGGCACAGTATCGATTCTGATCTTAGATATTGTTATAGGCAAGGCAGCGCCCTCTGGTATTTATATGCCACAGTCTGGGTGGTCTTGTTGTCAAAGAGGTAGTCATTCCTCCCTGAATTCAGCCTTTGAGAATACCTATGCCGCTTCACCCGAACCCTGCAGAGTTATAACACATACTGATTGTCTCCAGAGTCTTGTAGCTGCAGCTACGGCACACACATCTGCGACAGACCAGATGCTCAAATCGACTGCCGGCTTGCTCTTATATGGAGTCCCAAATCGGGGGCTTTCAATCTAGAGCCTACGGCCTATGGTTCATGGCCAGCCCAATCACGCGCTAGTTGATGATCTGAGGCCAGAGTCCACCTTTCTGGACACACTACATCGTAACTTTTGCAACCATTTCACGTTTGCGGATTCCGAGATAATTTCATTTTGGGAAACAAAGCAGTCACAGACTGCTCGGGTGGGTGGTCCTAGGTGTCTGAGCCAGGAGTATCTTTACCGTTGTTAACGTGCCTTTGTAGGAGCAAGGAGATGGAACGTGGAAAATGAACGGCCCGATGGAGGTTTTAGTCTCCAAGTCATCAGCAACGGGTAGCAGGCCAAATGAGCCATTGTTCAACGATTATCCTATCAATGCCACACATTCAGAAATTGTGAAGTTTAAAACACCGATGGACGGTAATTACACTCTTGTACGAGACAAGGTTAAACAGTTTCGTGACGAGGCACCCTCAAAGGTTATGAAACGGTTCTGCTCGAGCGATTCGGTTAGCGACACTGATAGTTCACTCCGCCTGATGAACGGCTGGAGCCACCTACATCTTGCAAGCCACAAGGGCGACATTGAAAAGGTGAAGCAGCTCCTGAAGGAAGGCGCGGCAATCGCAGGAACTGCCAACAACGGGGCGACGGCCCTTCACCTGGCATCAATTGCGGGGCACGAGTCCGTCGTATGGCTGTTACTGGACAAAAAGGCGAGTACCGAAGCAGTTGACTGCTTCGGATCGACTGCTTTATTCAGCGCTTGTGAAGGTGGAAATGAGAATGTCGTGAAGCTGCTGCTTGAGAAAGGAGCATATATCACAACACGAAACAACAAGGCTCTGACGCCTTTGCATTGTGCCGCGATGAATGGGAAAGAGCTTGCGGCAAGAGCATTGTTGGATCACAAACCGGATATCATCGAGGAACAAAGCTCCGAATTTCTCACACCTCTACATTCCGCTGCAATAGCTGGTTATTGTCCTATGGTAAACCTTTTGTTCAACCGTAAAACAACTAAGGAGGCAGTCGATACGAACAAAGCCACACCATTGCACCACGCATGTTTGCACGGAGCTGAGGAGGTTGTCAAGGAGCTGTTACTTGCAGGAGTCAACATTGAAGCTAAAACCACCATAGGATGGACACCTCTCTATACTGCTGCTAGTAAAGGGCACAGAGGCATTGTTGAGCTCTTGCTAAGTAGAAAAGCAAATATAGAGGCAAAGACTAACGAGGGCTGGACAGCATTACACGCCGCCTCTAACCTTGGTCATGGGTCAACAGTAAAGTTATTGTTGGAGAAATTCGCCATTGTCGAACCGATTTCTGTGACCGGCGGGACACCATTACATGCAGCATCGGTCACTGGACGAGATAGCATAGTGAGCTTGCTATTGGATTTTGGAGCCCGCATAGAGACAAAGACCACACCAGGGTGGACAGCGTTGTATATTGCCGCGTATGAGGGTCAAGAAGGGGTGGTACGCGTGTTGCTGGATCGGGGAGCAGATATTGATGCAAGAATGCTAGACAATAAGAGGCCTCTGCATTGTGCAGTCCTGAGCGGACGCGATCTTATGGCAGCTTTCCTTCTTGCTCGAGGGGCCGACATCGAAGCGAAAGGTTACTGTGACGCATTACTCCCCCAGATGTTTCCTGAACAGGATCGACGTAAGACAGTCCGCATCACTGAAACACCGCTGCAACTGGCTTCAGTGATGGGATATACCTCACTTTGCAAGCTTTTTATAGACCGTGGAGCAGATTTGGAAGCAGGAAGTATGGGGTACACAGGCTTACATGGAGCATGTCTGCAAGGCTCTGTTGATGTCCTTAGCACCTTGCTGGATCCAGGCGCAAATATTGAGGTTCGAGGCCTAGACGGCGTCACCCCTTTACATATGGCATCGGCCAAGGGTTATGCCGAGTGCGTTCGTATTCTACTCGATCGGAGGGCGCAGGTTGAGGCCAAAACAAAGTCTACTTGGACCGCACTGCATTTTGCATCAAGTAATGGTCATGGGCGGGTTGTACGAACACTGCTCATTCGGCAGGCAAATATCGGGGCAACAGACTGGTTATGGCGAACGCCATTAAGTCTTGCAAAGAATGGCAGGCACTCGGACGTTGTTGAACTGCTCACTGAGCGCGGTGCGAGAGAAAGCTCTTGGTGGAGACGCTCTCCAGGTTCGTAATCAGAATCGCCGCTCTATTTATATATGTACTGAATAGTAGTGATCAAGGTCCTCCTGTCTCGAGCAAATCTGACACTAGACTCAAACCTAAAGACATACCTTCTGAGGCGGAGGAGAAACCAGTCCCTGGGGACCTACATGTCGATGCCAGAGTGAATATCCACGCACCAGCTAAATCAGGACGCGTTGATGGTAGTCACATATCTTACGCCGGGTCGAATGTAGGAAGCACCACAACAAATCAGCATCTTGCACTTCCAAAGCCTTCGATTGTCACCACTACGCCTCCCATGTCACATTCACACAATGAGGCAGGGTCGTCTAAAAGAAAGAGGGATCCGTTTGAAGAGGATGACGATTCAAACCAAATTAAGAAAAGAAAAGATGATGGCACAGAGACGCAGGAGAAGGGAGAGGAAGAAGAGGTAGATTCCCAAAGTGCAGATGACTGGCCTATTACCAAGAGCATTGTCTCCCTGCTTACAGGGTGGTGAGAGATCAATAGAATATCTTGTACTCTTTCAATTACATTTGATTATAGCCTTGGGTACGAAAGTTGTTATTAAAATATTTACTACTATGATTTGGTTGTCAACTATCTCAAATAAACCATCATCATCATGATAATTGGCATTATGGGCTATTTGAGGTCCAGGGCCACTCAACAAGGATATTCCTTGGCTCAGTCTGGCTGCCTGAGGGTATAGTGGTATCGTTGAAGAAGCTCCATGGTGTTCGTAAACTCAAGTGGGAACCGGTGAGCACGTCGCAGGGGGGATCCTGTCTATGAAAAGGCTCTCCATGATCTTGAAGATCTATTGTCCGCCCAATATAACTGCTAGATTTACAATGGATCACTTCGATACTAGTAGGTATTTATAGACGCAGCGTGACTGAGCGCTTATGCCTCCAACATATGGAAGTCGGGAATCTGCAGTCGAAGCCACTAACGTATTTGACTGGGAAGCCCACCGTGACCGGGTAATCGACCGCGTTCGTTTTATTACGCGCGCTCGATCATTGCCACGAGCGACCACGAGTGCCCACGATTGCCCATGAATGCCCACGATTGAGGCCCAAATTGGCTCTAAATTGGCTCTAAATAAATACAGTTTATTCTTTGTTAATTCTAGTCCTTATAAAGAGGTATAAAATTTAATCCTGAACCCTTTTTGAAGGTACCCTCTTCCTACATGATCTTCTACTGCTAGTATCCTCAACTATCACCTTTGACCACTCTGAATCTTCCACCTCCTCAACATCTAGACTAGTATCTATAGAATGTACAGAAATATTTTCACTTATAGTAACTCTTTTGCCCAATGACCTCTTTTTGACTTCCCTAGCCAAAGCCTGTGCTGCTTTTTTACTGTCTGCAGCATCTCTAGCCTTTTTAAGCCTCTCCACATCCTCAGTAGTAATTACTCTTGCTTTACTGAATTGTTTTCTGTCTTTAGTAGAGGCTTGGCTCGCTTTTTTGGCTACTGATTTTCTGAACTGAGCATGTACATGATCACCTATTTCCTTCTCTGTTAAAGATATTTGCAGGCCTTTGTCCAGTTGCTTTACTAGAGTGCGCAATTTCTCGGCGCTTTTTGAGCCTCCTCTTATCAGTGCTAATGCTTGACTTGCAGTTGACCTCGCCATTCTGGTATTTTTGGGTGTGGTGGGTCCTGAGACTACTAGTATGGATGCACTAAGCGGGGTTGGCTGCAAAGCCCGGCGGGGATTATACGGCATTATTCCTGTTTTGGCCCATGCTGCCAGGATATTATGAGAGGTATAGGTTCTCCTTCTAGCTTCAAATAGATAGCTAAAACATGTTAGCCAATTCTCGGCGATGCGGAGCGGGCTCGGTGTGGTTCAGAAAGGGCTCAGCGTAGGGGCCATAACCTACTTTAAAAAGGTTCCTTTATTGATGCCGGTATCACCCCCAGACTGTTCCATAGCCTCATCTAAAACATTAGAATAATGTTTTTATAATGGTACAAACAATCCCACATCAAGTGGCTGTAACAAGTGGGTGAAATGTGGGGGTAGACAGAAAGGAATGATTTTATTGTTGAGACAATAATCAAAGAACTCCCAAGTGGTATGTGATGAATGTCCATCTAGTATTAGGAGGCGCCATCTATCCTGTGCCCTATAATTCAATTAGTAATACCCAACTAATAATACTTTTATAAGTTTGGCGCTCTCAGCATGCGGCGTTCGCTATCGCTCGGCGTGCGGCGTTCCTTATCACCCAACATTAATAGGTAGGACTTACACTTCAGATGTGTATTTATCAAAATTCTCAACCAACCAATCCATCCCTAGCTTTGAATCCGTCCACCCCTTTGGGGAATAGGTAAATGTCACGATATCTCGATGCTCTACCCCTGTATACCAGCCCTTATAATGAGCCGTACCTTGGTTGATAATCATAGGCGGTAATGCTACCCCCGTTCCAGAAACTGCTTCAATGACTGTCACCCATGTAGGATTGCTGGAATGTGTGAGTTAAGGATTTTTCCGTCCTACTCTGCAAATGACTTTCACTTTTGCACACATGCCCATCATAAAACCCTTTTCGTACATATTATATGTATCCTTCGGTAGGATGTCGTATTTGGCCGTCACCTCCTTCAACTATAAGCAGTTAGCAAAATTCGAAATTGAACTAATGCGGGGTGCAGATCGTCCGCCTCGGCGATGGCGGCTTGCATATGCCTAACACCTTTTTGTAAAAGTCACTTAATAATTCTTGGTTATTTGTTACCGCCCTCTGGCTGTCTAGACGTCCACTAAACCTGGAGCTAAACTCTGGGTTCCGGTCCAAAAATCTGCCCAACCAATGTTGTCCTAGCTTGTGCCCTGGGCCCTTCCGTTTAGAGAACAAATATGCGGCTAACTCCTTCACAAGAGATAGTCTCAAAGGAAAACCACAATCGTAGATGCGTTGACACCATCTCACTATGCATCCTTCTTCATCCTCATTTAGCAATTGTTGTGACCTGTGTGGCTCTCGCCTATTTTGTGCTCCATTTAGCCTATCTCGAAAGGTACTCCAAGAGATACCAAAAGCCTCGGCGGAAATCCGGAGACTTGCAGAGTTACATGATTCCCTGTAGTGGGTCATTGCCTTCTCAATTAATTTTTCACGCTCCTCCCATTTTTTACCCTTAAGTCTCGGCATTTTGAACTCTGAATGATGGTGAGAACTTGAATGCTAGCGCTATTCACGCTATTCACAACACTACCCGAAGATTTTTTTTACTGGGGCAAACTCGGATAGTGTTGGACGGTTACCCGGTCACGGTCGGGTGCGTGGTCAAATACGTTACATGCTATGCTGCGCTGGCTGTGGCTGAGGAGGATCAACACGTCAAGCGACTTCCGCGTTTCCACAACGGCGTTACAGTACACTGACGCCGTTTCGGTACATCGTTTCTATACTCGGGATCTCGCCACCATCAGCAAAGAGCTTTCAACCTCCTTACAATCTTCATCCTTTTGACACAACCTCCTTTCTACTGTTGGAGCGTGTTCCACTGCTCAGTTCCATAGGCGGAAAAGAATCAAGAAAAGGGAATTTCGGCCTTGGAAACGAATCAAATGATTCGTTTTCATGGCTGGTAGAGAACCACATTCAGAATATTCTCTTAATAAACCCAGAACACAACCAACGCTAAAGTAAGGAAACAGACATATCCGGCTCTACTCGAGCATCAAGCTATGAAATGGAATGCCCTTTGAGGTACTGATATCAACCCAACACTAGTCCATGGTTACAAAGTAAACATTCATTATAGTTATTTCCCTCATCATTGCTCTTTGCAATTATGTATGTATCTAGTATCTATAATGTGCCTGTCCCATAGACATACTTTGCTATTGACCCGAATTGCCCTCCCGTACGACATTTGGTGAATCTTGGACATTCAGTGTGTGAGTGGTAGAGTCCGGATCCACGGCCTGGAGGATCCGCTTGCTGTTTGTAAAACCCTTTATCGAGTGTATGCCCATTACAGCAATTTGGGTAAGAAATATCCATCACTTTTAACGATGATGAATTTCCGGTCTCTAGCTCTAATGGATACCCGCAAAATTACCGCGTAAGCCACGTGACTTCAGTTGGACACTATGGCTCGAGAAGCTATGATGGGTAGGTGTGTAAACTTCGGCGTTTGCAGGCAATCAATCTATAGGAATTGGGAGACCTACGCCCATAATGGTACTAGCGCCTAGCCTGACGGTGGAATTTTCTCTAATTTCCATACAAAAAAAGTTCCTTTGAAGTTGACGCCCGCACCCCCTATGCCTTCTCGCGCCATCGTTCCTGCACTTTTTTTATCTCGTTTTTACTTGCTCGGCTAACTTTTTTTTTTTTTGAGGTATAAACCTAAATCTCCAGATGCTCTCTTCGACCTGCTCCACCATTTATTGCAGCAGTTGAAAAATCCTCCTCATCATATGTCAGTAGTATCGCCATCTAAACCATTTTTGTCCGCAGTGCACTTCGTGGTATGCCACCGTGGAGATAGTCTTCTCTCTTCTTGTGGGCATCAGTATTCCCGGACCACATTCTCTGACGAGCGTCACTAGAATAATGATCTAAGAGAAAGACCTCCGGGGAGCTATTCCCTGATCATCGTCCGCGCCTCCGCCGTTTCTCCCGGGACGGGATCGGAATTGTCTGTTGGATGAGGACTGGTTGTTACGGTCATCGAAAGAGGGTTAGGGTGCTCCGGCATCTCACAAAGCCCGCAAACCTCAAGCTCCCACCTCTTTGCCAAGCCCATACGCTTTTTCTCCCTGGGAATGTATACATTGACGCCATCTAGGTGTATTCGCTCATGTAGCTCATGAAGTCCATACTTCTTTACATGCGTTCTTCACCAGTATTGGTACCGAAAACTCGGTTTCGGCGGATCGCAGAAGATGGACGAAGGCTATTTCTTCGCCCGTCACATCAAAAACGGAGACATATTAGGACATTCGTACCCAGCCCTCCTCCCGGAGGGGCTGGAGCTATAACGTTCCCACTATTGATGGGGTCTTTTTGCGGAGGTATTGGGAGCTCTCCGGCGTCGGAGAGGCTGCTGGCGGAGGTCGGGGGCTGTCTGGGCTCGGTTCACATACAAAAAATAAGTTTTTTTTAGCCCCTGACATGAATATTAATACCAAGGTACATTTTTTGTTAGCATGTCGTGTAACTTAAGCAGAACGGTTGCTTAAATGAGTTATGAATTGTTTAAGTTACACACCATTGTGTAAGTTAAACATTGCGGATATGTACCGATTTTCAGGTACACAATCCTACTGTGTTCAAAAAAAAAGCAGTACACATTTAACCTGTGTTGAAAAAAAAAAATTAAACATTCTTTTTGCGCCTAAACCGACACACATACCGTATGTGTCTCGATCACTATTTGTCGAATAATGAAGTATATCGACGCACCACATACCCCCTCTTGCCTTCCTTTAGTAGCCCAATCAATTCGTCAATATC